TAAATATGCATTCTTTGTAGTACATTCTATTTCAAGCCTCTGAATTTCAGAGCAGAATTCACGGTCATGAGTGAAATAAATGTCCAAACAACACCATGAATCATTAAATAACTGCCAAAATTCCCAATGGAATTACGATTACATAATTTGAATTTTGTTTTTTGTTAATTGTTTATAATGCGTGGATCCAACCCATGGATTCCAGGTTTATTGAATGCCATAAAATTCTCTTTTCTCCTGTGCCCAGTATTTCTGACCAAGCTAACAATGGAAATATTTATTCCCTTTCCTTGAAAACTATTTATCTAGAGTCTATTCACCAAAGACAATGATGACTGACCCAAGCCATCAAATTATATGGCCTCTTACTGCAAATTGGTTCCATTTGTTGGAGGGCTCCAGAAGCTACTATTTTGATCCTAGACAAAGGAGTGGGGTTGAGAATAACAGGGAAATTATTCTTCTCCAAGTTAACTTGCCCATTAACTTGTTCATAGAATAGGTGGTCGGTATGTATTTAGCACCCACTCACTAAACTGTACTTTGGAGTTTTTGCAGTTACAGTCCAGGCTTACCTGAACTACATGTGGTTGCTATTAGGCATCTCCCCCATTGCTTACTTCATGGGTCTTTACAGAGAGCCATGTCAGAGCATGTACTGGCCTCTGAGGTAGTGTGAAACAGTGGAGAGGTGATATCAACGAAAATCTCTGCCCTTATAAAATTTATGTCACACATGCTACCCTATTCCATTACTTTTTATGTAGCCTAGTCTGTCCAGGATTAAAATATCCCTGTATCAGGGTTACATTTAGAAGCTGAAAATTTAAAATATAACTTTCCCCAAATAGAGCAAATATACCAGATAACATAATACTTGGTTGAAAACTGCATCAATTCTAAAAATATACAAAAAATATGTGGCGTTTTAAATGGACATTTTTTTGCAGCTTATCTAAGGTATTATAATACTGCTACTTTGCGCTTGGCCTGAAATTGGCGAATGTTAAGCAGGTAAATGAAAATTAAACTTCTCAAGGATATATAAAGAATACAAATTCTACTATTTCAATTCTCCTTTAATTCAAGTTAAAAATTTAGCCAATAGCCTACTATGCAAACTGAGATTTCTTTTTCCTTTTAAAGATTAGACTATGATTAGAACACCAGCCAAACTGTGCTTTGTAAGCCTCACTCACTGGGTCTGGTACAACTGCTGGCTTTGTGCACAAGTCCTTCTTTAGCCAAATGTTGTCCTTAGAGTAGAGAATAATGAATATAAACTGCCTTTGTGTTGTAGACATGAGCAAGAAAAAAGGTATGCATTCATTCTCAGAGATCTAAGTAACCTAGTGAAATTTTTCAATTTATAATGATCTCCGTATAGGAAGATTATTACATTCATGAGTAGGAAACCCACATCATTTGAAGACTCCTGTGTGTTATCTAAAGGGGAAATAGGGTCGAACATAGGCAATGCTTGTGGCCTCAACTGTTGTCACTTCAGACACCTTGAAACATGTAGCAATAATAATCTACTCACCATCTCTTGAAGATTCCACCTGGCAAGTGTCCCTGTAGAAATAATCCTACCTCATGATAGAAGAGTTGTTTCATGCCTGGAGACAGATCTGTGAAATGAAAGAGTTTTTCCACCTTGGATAAGAATATGTGTATTCATCTAGATATTTATGGAAAGTATAGCTAAGTAAAATTTTGGGGAGAAAAAAATGTTTTAAGATTAGCCACTAACAATAAGGAGAACAATCAGAAATTTACTGATGTCTCATAGATAAAGTGGGCTCCCCGTGATCTGAAGATTTAAAAGAATTTAAATATTGTTTGGAAAATTTCAAATTCAACTTTAATTAAAGAAAAGCTAAAAGTGCTTTGCTTCATTTAAGGAAATTAAAATTGTTGGAATTAGTCATTGACAGTAAGAATGAAATCATTCAGTTTCTAATGAATAAAGTAATGGCTTGGAAGCCCTTGAGATCCTTGAAACACTAGGAAAGATACCTCCATGATTCAGCCACGAATTTAAACATTTTGAAGGATGAAATAACACTCAGTACCATTCCCCCAACAAATTAAATACTAATAATACAAAATGATGTTCATAATTTACGTAACTCCTTTGTGGCCATTGAACTTTATGCACTCATGGTTAGTAATTTGTTTACGTGAGGGGCACAGGGGTAATTTTGGCATGAAGAATCTGCAAGATTGGTATGATTACTTACCATCAAATCAAGGAGTCCATAGAGACATGAAGAGAGACAATATTCTCAAAATGAATGTAGCTACAGTGGGCAGATATGGGGGTTTCAGTTTATTCCCCTCCCCTACAGCAAACTGAATAGCATCCTTTCTCCCCACATAGACACATCAAAATATGTATGCAATCCTCATAACTCTAATGGAGAGTCAGGCAACAAGAATGGGCTAACACACAACTGATAGCTACAGTGAAAATCCACCAAGGGAGTTGTATTTGAATCACTGTCTCTGAAACTTCCAGATCACAAGAGGCTGTCTCCTACAGCCATCCAAGATGGCCAGTAAACAACTTGAGATTGGTGGTGACAAATAGGAATCTGCCAGAGAGGTTTTACCGTCTTCAGCTTTATAATTAATCAGACCTGTTTCCAGCCTTCATAATTATGTTAGCAAAGGAAGCAATTCAGAAAAAAGCCTTATTTTGCAGGTGATTCAAAACCACATCAGCTGCCACATCCATAAGTCAAAAATAACAATATTGTTCTATTTATTCTGCTATGTTTCAAAAATGGAAAAACTAAAATAATTATATGGCTTTTAAAACAACATTATTTTTCTCAAAAAAAGAAATTTTTTTCTACCCAAGTTGAAAAATAAGCACATATTCTTTCCATGGGGCAAATTTAACAAAAAACACACACACACAAATTTGTGTTGTGTAAATTAGGTAAAATGCGTACATACATACATATGCATGCCTGATTTATAAGTACACCAAACTATAAATATAACACATCAGTACAAGCATGAAGAACAAAGGTAGCACAATTTTATAGTCTCAAAGTCCTAATTAGCATAAAAGGGAAAACATCCTAATCAAATAACTAGTCATTAACACAAAGCCAGATGTGTTGAATGGGTTTACTAATTAACTAAGTAAACTGCAGGTGTTTAAAACTCATAGATTACTAATGAAATGTATACTTATTTTTTAAAAAATTACCTGCAACTGAATCTTAGTATATTCAGATAGAGCAATAACACACAGTACTCATGGATGTAAACTTTACTGTCACAAAGAATACCTGAAGCATTCCTTATTAAATGTCTTAGGTGTTCAAATTCTTTGAAGCTTTCGTAAGGCTGTTTTCACAGGGATATATCTGATTCTGCCAATGGATCTGACACACTTTAAAAGTAGACAAAGCAGTATAAAGGAAAACATGAGTAATGAATGACCAACAAAGAAATAATCACAGATAAGAGAAGGGGAGTATGACATTTAAAAGAAAATGTTTTCTAGCAAACTACAGATTTTTGCTAACTTCTGACTGTGTTTTCTCTGAACCCCATCAAGGTGGTCCAGCAGTAAAAGTAGACTTCATTCACATCACTTTGTGTTATAGGACTAATGATTTCTTGAGTCATTAGTAGGAAACCGGGAACTTTTGTTTGTTACCTTGCAACAGAACCAAATGGCATGCACAAGCTAACTGAAGGAACGAAATTAGGTTTTTAACCATCATTCATTTCCTAGTAGTATTGCATACTGTCTCAATTATTTTAATTATACATAGGAAAGTATGCTGATCCTCTCTATACTTATTTTTCTTTTTTGTTTTTAAATTTTTTATTTTTAATGTTTCTGGGTACATAGTACATGCATATGTTTATGAAGTGTATGAGATATTTTGATACAGGCATACAATGTATAATACTTCACAGTAAATGAGATGTCCATCACCTCAATCATGATCCTTTCTTTGTGTTATTATCCAATATTCCCTTTTAGTTATTTTTAAATGTACAAAAATTATTGTTGACTGTAGTAACCCTGTTCTGCTATCAAATACTAGTCCTTATTCATTTTATCTAACTATATTTTTGTAACCATGAACCATCCCCACTTCATCCCTACTACCCATTCCAGCCTACTTATATTTAAGTATTTAATACATTTTGATGTGATTTTTGTATATGCAGACAGATAGGTTCATTCTGCTTTGCCAATACCATTTGTTAAAGAGACTATTTTTTCCTTGATGTGTGTTCTTTGAACCTTTGTAAAAAAATGAGTTCACTGTAGATGTATGAATTTATTTCTGAGTTCTTTATTTTATTTCAGTGGTCCATGTGTCTGCCAGTACCATGCTGTTTTGGTTACCATAGCTCTGTAGTATAATTTTTAATGTGATTCCTTCAATTTTACTCTTTCTGTTCAGAATAGCTTTGGCTATTCTGGGTCTTTTGTGGTTCCATATACATTTTATGATTTTTTTTCTATTTATGTGAAGAATATCATTGATATTTAATAAGGATTGCATTGAATCTGTGGCTTGCTTTGGTTAGTATGGACCTTTTAACAGATTCTTCCAATACATGAACATGACGTATCTTTCCATTTTTTGTTCTCTTCAGTTTCTTTCAATATTTTATAATTTTTATTGTATAGATATTTCACTTCTTTGGTTAAATTAATTCTAAGGTATTTTATTTTATTTGGGGCTACTATAAATGGATTACTTTCCTGATTTCTTTTTCAGTTTGTTTGCTGTTGGCATATAGAAATCCTACTTATGTTGTATCCTACAACTTTACTGAATTTATCAGTTCTAATAATTTTTTGGTGGAGTCTTTAAATTTTTTCAAATATAAGATTATGTCATCTGCAGAAAAGGATAATTTGACTTTTTCCTTACCAATTTTGTTGTCCTTTATTTCTTTCGCTTTTCCTGTTGCTCTAGCTAGATCAGTGGTGAAAGTAGGCATCCTTGCTGTACTCCAGATCTTATAAGAAAGGCTTTCAGCTTATCTCCATTTAGTATGATACTAACTGTTAGTCTGTAGTATATGGCTTTTCTTATGTTGAAGTGTGTTTCTTCTTTACCCAATTTTTAGCAGATTTTTATCTTGGATGGATGTTGAATTTTATCAAATGCTTTCTCAGCATCAATTAAAATGATCACATAGTTTTTATCCTTCATTCCATTGATATCATCTATTGCATGGTTCGGTTTGTATATATTGAGCTATTTTTGCATCCCTGGGATAAATCCCACTTGGTCATGCATAAACAATTATTTAACATGTTGTTGAATTTGATTTGCTAATATTTTGTTGAAGATTTTTGTATCAGTGTTTATTAAGGATATTGACCTTCTTTTTCTTGTTTGGATGAGTCTTTGCTTCTGATATTAGGGTAATACTGGCCTCATAAAATGAGTTTGAAAGTATTCCCTACTTCACTATTTTTTAGAATAATTTGAGTAGAATTGGTATTCATTTTTCTTTAAATGTTTGATGAAACTTATCAATGAAGCCATTGGGTCCTGGGCTTTTCTTTGCTGGGAGATATTTATAATGACTTCTATATCATTACTTGATATTAATCTATTCAGGCTGTGGATTTCCTTATGGTTCGACCATGATAGGTTGCATATGTTTAGGAATGTATCTATTTCTTCTAAATTTTCCAGTTGTTGCCATGTGGTTGCTCATAGTGGCCAAAAATGATCCTTTGAATTTATGTTGTATCAGTTGTAATGTCTCCTTTACCATCTCTGATATTATTTATTTTGATATTAGTCTTGCTAAAAGTTTTTATGTAGGGGCTCATAGCTATAAAATTTCCTTTTAGTACTGCTTTCACTGTATCTCATAGATTTTAGTATGTTGTTTTTCCATTATCATTTGTTTCAAGAAATGTTTACATTTCTTAATTTCTTGACTCACTGGTCATGCAGGAGCATATTCTTTAATTTCTATGTTTGTATAATTTCCAAAACTTATCTTGTTATTGATTTCTAGTTTTGTTCCATTGAAATCAGAGAAAATACTTGACATAATTTCCAATTATTTTTATTTTTTAAGATTTGTTTAATGGCTTTATACATGATCTATCCTTGATAACATTTCATTTGTTGAAGAAGAGAATGTGCATTCTGCAGCCATTTGATGAAATGTTCTGTGAATATCTATTAGGTTCCTTTGGTCTATAGTGCAAATGAAGTCTGATATCTTGTTGATTTTCTGTCTGGATGATCTGTCCAGTGCTGAAAGTGGTGTGCTGAAGTCTTCAGGTATTATTTTATAGAGGTCTGTTTCTCTCTTTAGTTCTAATAATATTTGCTTTGCACATCTGGGTGCTCTAGTGATGGGTGCATATATATTTACAATTATTACATCCTCTTGTTGAATTGACCTCTTTATCATTATATAATGGCTTTCTTTGTCTTTTTTCATAGTTTTTGCTTTGAAATTTATTTTTTCTGATATACATATAGCTACTCCTACTCTTTTTTTGGTTTCCATTTGCATGAAATATCTTTTTTCATTCCTTTATCTTCAGTCTATGTGTGTTTTAAAGGTGATGTGTGTTTCTTCTAGGCAAAAGATTATCAGATTTTATTTTTGTTTATTAATTCAGCCACTGTATGTCTTTTGATTGGAGAGTCCAGTCCACTTACACTCAGTGTAATTATTGACAAAAAAGGACTTATTCCTGCCATTTTGATATTTGTTTTCTGGTTGTTTTGTTGTCTTCTCTTTCTTCTTTCCTTCCTTCCTTTCTTCCTGTTAGTGAAGTTTATTTTCTTTCATGGTGTGTTTTAATTTCTTGTTTTTTGCATGTGTGTTTTTGTTGTGTTTTTTGATTTAAGGTTACCAAAAGGCTTGTGAATTATATCTTATAACCCATTATTTTGCGCTAATAACAACACTGACTGCATAAGCAAACTAATGAAAAAGCAAAGAGAAAATTAATAAAAATTTGATACTTTAACTTCATCTACCCACTTTTAAACATTTTCTTATTTCTATTTACATCTTATCATACTGTCTGTGTCTCAAAAAGTTGTTGTAGCTGCTACTTTTTATCAGTTTGTCTTTTAGTCTTTCTATTCAAGATATGAGTAACACAAAAATTACAGTGTTATAATAGTCTGTGTTTTTTATGTATTCAATATTACCAGTGATTGTTACACATTCAGATTATTTCTTATTGCTCATTGACATCATTTTCTTTCAGATTGAAGAACTCCCCTTAGCATTTCTTATAGGAAAGATCTGATGTTGATGAAATCCTCAGCTTGTGTTTTCTAGAAAAGTCTATATTTCTTCCTCATCTTTGAAGAATATTTTTACTATATATGCTATGGTAGGATAAAAGTTTTTTCCTTCAGAACTTTAAATATGTCATGCCAATCTCTCCTGGCCTGTAAGGTTTCCACTGAAAAGTCTGCTGCCAGATGAATTGGAGCTCAATTGCATATTTGTTTCTTTTCTTTTGCTTCCTTTAGGATTCTTTCTTTATCATCCTTGAGTTAATTCTGCTTGATGTTCTATAACCTTCTTACACTTGAATATTTTTAACTCTCTAGGGTTGGTAAGTTCTCTGTTACTATCCCTTTGAATAAACTTTCAACCTCTATCTCTTTCTCTACCTTCACTTTAAGGCCAAAAACTTTCAGATATGCCCTTTTGAGGCTACTTTTTAGATCTCATCTCTCCAGCCATATCTGCATTATGGGGCACCCTAAGCCCAGTAATGCTCTGGTTCTTTCAGACTCATAGAGGTACTGTTTTGGTGGTCTTAGATCAGATCCAGAAGAATTACCTGGATTACCTGGCAGAGACAATTGTTCTCTTCCGTAAGTTTCTTATTTTCTTCCAAAGAAATAGAGTCTCTTATCTCTGTGTCTCTCTCTCTCTTTCTCTCTCTCTCTCTCTCTCTCTCTGCTCCTCCCTCTTTCTCTCTCTCCCACATACCCCTCTCTCTCATTCTTTTCCTCTCTCTCTCAACAACAGCAGAATACACATTCTTATCAAGTTCATATTAGAACTCATCAATATAGACCACATTCTAGGACATGAAACACACCTTAAAAATTTGAAAGATAAGACGTTATACAAAGTCTGCTTTCAGACCACAGTATGATTAAACTGGAAATCAGTAACAGAATGATAGCTGGAAATTTTCAAAATACGTGAAGATTAAACATCACAAGTGACTAAATAACACATGAAGCAAATAAGATATCCAAGAGAAATTTTAAAATATTTTGAACAAAATGAGAATGAAAATACAACTTATCAAAATTTTTGTGGGATGCAGTGAAAGCAGTGATTGGATGGAATTTTATAGCACTGAATGTGTATGTAAGAAAAGAAAGGTAATCTAAGCTTACACCTTGGGAAACTAGAAAAAGAAGAGCAAAGTAAATCCAAAGTAAGCAGTAAAAAAGAGAAGTAAAAACAAAATCAGAATGAAATTGAAAACAGGATATCAATAGTGAAAATCAATGAAACCAAGAGCTAGTTTTTTAAAAGATCAATAAAATTGATAAGCCTCTAGCCAGGCTAAGAAAAAAAAGAGAGAGGATACAAGTTACAAATATTAGAAATGAAAGAGGGGATATTAATACAGGCTTCATGACATTAAAAAGATAATAAAGGAGGCATACTATGGTTAATTTTTTGCCCATAAATTTGATGACCTAGATGAAATAGACCAATTCTCTGAAAGAGACAGTCTGACAAATATCACACAAGAAATAGACAATCTAAATAAGCCTATATTTATGAAGGACATTGAATCAATAATTGATATCCTTCCTAAACAGAAAGTGTCAGGCCCAGATGAGTTCACAGGTGAGTTCTACTAAACATTTAAAGAAGAAATTATCCCGTTGCTCTATGACCTGTTTTAGAAGATAGAAGCAGTGAGAGTACTCCCTAAGTCATACTCTAAGACCGTCATTACTCTAATACCAAAACCAGAGAAGAACATTACAAGAAAAGAAAACTACCAACCAATAACTTTCATGGACACATACTCAAAAATCTTTAACAAAATATTAGCAAATTTGATCTAACAGTGTGCAAAATGAATTATGTACCACACGAAGCGAGATTTATTGCATGCATATGAAGATGATTCAGTGTTAAAACAATTAATGTAATTGACCACATCAGCAGACTAAAGAAGAAAAATTACATGATCATATCAATAGATGCAAAAAAAGCATTTGACAAAATCCAATATGCAGTCTGGTAAAAATGGTCAGCAAATTAGGAATAGAGAAGGACTTCCTCAATTTAACAAAAACAAGTACAAAAACTCTATTGCTAACATCATGCTTAATAGTGCAAAACTAGAATCTTTCCCACTAAGATCAGGAGCAAGGCAAGAATGTCCAAGCTCACCACTCTTTTTAACATCATACTGGATGTCCTCACTAAGGCAGTAATACAACAAAAGGAAACAAAAGATATAATAATTGGAAAGGAAGAAATAAGACTTTGTTCACAGATGCCATGGTCATCTATGTAGAAGATCTGAAAGAATCAACAATAACAACAATAACAAACTCTTAGAACTAATAAGCAATTATAACAAGGTTGCAGGATAGAAGGTTAATAAACAAAAGCAACGAACAAGTGGCATTTGAAGTTAAGAACACAATGCTATTTGCAGTAGCATCCCTGAAATGAACTATATAGTTAGTAATCTGATAAAATGTGTACGAGATCTTTATGAGGAAAACTACAAAATTCTGATGAAAGAAATCCAAGAAATAAATAGTGAAGAGATATTTTATGTTCATGGTAAAGAAGGCTCAATATTGTCAAGATGTCAGTCTTTTCCAACTTAGTCTATATATTCAACAAAATCTTCATTGAAATTCAAAGTTGTTCTGTGGATATTGATAAACTGTTTTTTTTTTTACTTAAAAAAATCTGTTTTATTGAGGTGTAATTTATATACAATAAAATGTACCCACGTAAGTATACTGTTGGATGAGTTTGTCTTTTCACTGTCATAATCTTTGCAAAATAACAATAATCTAGAGATAGACCTCATACTCTTCACAAGAAGTGACTCAAAATGGATCACATACCCAAATATAAAATGCAAAACTATATACTCCTAGAAGATCATCAGAGAAGAACATCAGAGAAAATCCACATGATCTTGAGTTTGGCAATGACAGTTTAGATATAACATCAAAAGCACAATACATAAAAGAATGAATTGAAAAGCTGGACTTCATTTAAATTAAAAACTCCTGCTCTGCAAAAGACATTGTCAAGAGAATA